GGGGCTCGATCCCAGGACCCTGGGATCATGACCTGAGCCGAGGGTAGAGGCGTAACGACTGAGCTACCCAGGCGCCCCTATTCCCTCTTCTCTTTTTGGGTTTGGGAAGATGCCCCGGGGCCTCAAGAGTAGACAAGTGAGAGAAGAAACAAGATCGTAGGCTTTGTGTAGTTGGCATGTTGAGCCCAGAAGCCAGTTGCTGCATTGATAAAACAGTGAGTTTTCTAAGCAGTTTGCTGTGATGACTGCTTAGCGGTCTCCAGGGCACAGCAACCACACTAAGACTGAGTGCTCTCACTTGCAGAGAGGGAGCAAGGGCAGGGCAGGGTGGCGTCCTTTTCCCCAGGAGTTGGGTAGGGAGCGTCCCATCATAGAAGTGAGTGTATACAGCAGCCCTAAGAAACAATCCCGATCGTCCGAACAACCTCAAAAGGAGGTTCAAATCCATGAGGTGTGATGTATGGGAAGTACTTGGAGCTCAGAAATCCAGTGATTTCTCAATAAAAAGATACTAAGATTGTGTGCTTAATTGTTAAGTTACTACCATGATATCTTTCTCCAGTGGTCACTAAAAGCCACTTTATAGGTATTTTGCTGTGTTTAATGGACAACTGTTATATCTACTCTGTTCTCATTTTTATTGCTGGTTTAGATGAAATGTGGCTGATATTTTTGGCCTTATCTTTGCCGTTTTTGAATGGTGGGAGAACACCCTGAATTGTAATGATTTGAATGCATGGGTTTCATAAAAGGTGCAGTGTTTGAGAATGCTGGGAGGCCCTGTGGTGGAGTTCTCAAGTGTTCTTTCTCTGCAGGTATTTGAAATATCTCACCAAAAAATATTTGAAGAAGAATAATCTCCGTGACTGGTTGCGCGTAGTTGCAAACAGCAAAGAGAGTTACGAGTTGCGTTACTTCCAGATTAACCAAGACGAGGAAGAGGAGGAAGATGAGGATTAAAACTCATTTATCTGGAATATTTTGTATGAGTTCTTAAATAAAACTTGGGAACCAAAATGGTGGTTTTCCTTGTATCTCTGCAGTGTGGATCGAACAGAAAATTGGAGATCATAGTAAAAGCTTCACTTGGGCTGCCATTCACTTATTTGTAATTAGACTTTTTTCCTGCTTGAAAATTTAGTTTTTTGTGGTAAGAAAAGCAAAATAAGCTCCTTTAAGGGAACTGCCAGTGATCTGACCTTGAGCAGGTGGTTAAGGGTGTGGAAATGTGCGCCCTTCAGTTAGTCACTATTTTACTTCAAAAAGCGGGACAGTTTTACCTGGTGCTTTTCTCAAAGATTCAGGTATACTGACGTCGGGACTTCTAGTTCACTGAGCAAAACCAGCGACTTCTTTGAGGTTCTCTTGCAGGAAAAAGGTAGTGTCAGTAAAAAAGCAGGGTTCTGGGGCATTTCAGTATTTGGTTACAAATTACTTGCACACAATGACTTATGTATGTTAATCCTTTTTCTTCCTGTAGAAATAAAATGTCCTTTGGCGCTGCTGCATATTCTCCTGCCCTCCAGGAAAGAGTCTGGAGAGCGGTTATAAAAGTCCCAGATTTTAAATTAAGTAAACATGCACAAAACTGAATTTGTGAACAGTCAGTTTCTACAACTCTGCAACGAACTGTCCCTTTGGCCCCCAGCAGGGGGAGCTGGAGATGAGCAGTAGTAGAGCTTCCAGAGATGGACATCTGTGCATCTCCCCAGGATCGCAGCCTTTTCACGGGGTGGGCGCCAAGGAGAAGCGATCGAGGGACAGGTCATGCTGAGGAGATGAGGGAAAACGTTGACGTGCCCAGGGAATGGTCCCTTCTGTGCCATTTGGGCCATGGCTGGATTTAATGTCAAGTCGTTCTACAGACTGACATTAATCAGGGCCAGATGAAAGCGGGATTTTGTTGCCTCGCGTGCAGAGGCTAGAGATCTGTGAAAGGTTACTGAGTTGTAAAGAAGTAATTGTCGCCAACTGGAAATCCAGAGGATTTGAGAGCGACTTTGAAAAGAGACCCTGATGCCTTATGGTGCCCTTCTGAAATCTAAACAATTCTGCAGAAATGTCTGCATTGTCTTAAAATTACAGTGTATGAAACCATGTTTTTAAGGTTCGCCCACAGCTAATTTCCACACCTGAAATTCTTGGGCTCTGCTAGCTGCCTAGCTGGAAATTAAATGTTGGAGTCCTACCTTTGCTCCAAATTAACATTTGGTGCTCCTTGGATTGAATTTAACATGTTGAGTCTTTGCAATTTCATTTGTGGTTAAAGGCTCTAGCATTTTCTATTTCTATGCAAATTTCTTGTAGCAGAATTGTTTGCGTGTTTCTCCACCCTAGGGCAAGGAGAGGTTTCTTTCCAATGTCACTGAGGCATCAGCTGGTTTCTGTCCCTTACCATGATCATTAACTTTGTTAGTAAGTTTATGACCTGGGTTTGCAAATTGTACTTGTTTGTTGCATCCATGTTCACCTGTGGTGATTTTTAGTTTCATTGTAAAAATATTAACCCTGGGTGGAAATTAGCATAGAAGTTTTTCTTTTTTCTTTTTTTTCAAACTTCCAGGTTTTTAAAACTTGTAATAAAATTGAAACTCGTTGGTTTTTCTATGCCTTTTTGAACTCTTGTAATTGAGTTTTGATCACATTTTATATTAAAGTGGCTAACACGTGGCTACTCTCACTGTGGAAGGCTTTTTTTTTTTTTTAAGGATTGGCATGTTAATGTATTTGGCGACATTGTTTTTCCTACTAATTGCTGTTTCGTTAAGCCGGAGAAGAAAATGCATCCTTCATTCCCATTCTCTCTACCTTTGTTGTGCCTCAGCGAGATTCTGGAGTTGGTCATAACTGAACTGTCCGTGTAGAACTTATTTCGATCCAGAGCCGAAAGGGTAACTTTGCAAAGATGGCTTTTTCTGACGGAAGCTTTGTAGCGGGAAACCTGAATTACTTTACACCCATTACGCTGGCTGCATCCAGACCACATTTAGACCACTTTGCTTTTTAGCTCTTGACTCATGACCTGCCTGCCTGATGGCAAGTATTCACGGCACAGGAAGAGAGTGGGTGGGTCACGGAGAGCTTCAGGCTGAGGTGTACATTCATAGAGGTGGTGGAATAGGGAGGTGCTATAGTCTAGTTCTTAGCTGATTCTGGTTACCAACACCATCTCGGCTAAAGGTTTAGTATTGGTTGTTCTTTCAAAAGCCTCAGTGACCTCCACCTTTCCCCATGACTTTCACTGGTGAAAGTGCTTTTTCCTGAGTAGTGTTATCCTCCCACCTCTTTGGGAAGAGCCGAGTGTTGAAATAACGTGGATCCTATCTTCACCAGTGGCACCTGGTAGAGGTGTTCAGAAATGCTTGTGTATAAGAAGGATGGAGCAAAGTGGGGGAGTTCGAGCGTATCAAACATTTCTCAAAAATTGATAAAAATTACAGAATTCTCTGGAGTATTTAGACCTCAGCCTTTTTAGAGGACACTTGATTTCTTGGAAGGTGATGACTGGTTCTGTCCCTTGGTCGTCACATTAACCTCCGGAGAGCTTGGAAATTGGCTTTGGCAGCCTGCTTTCATTTCCTTTAGTTGCTGTGGTCCTTCCCGTGACTTCGCCCTAAACTTACCAAGTGTTAGAAGCAGAGCGTGGTGCAGGCTTTCCCCGTGAGGGGGCGTACACTTAAGATGTGTGGGTCATTGAGGAGACGGCAGATTCCGCAGTAGCAAGGGGAGAGACCTCCCCTTGGTAGCCTCGGACAGAATGGGGCTGGCTGGGGTCAGAAGCAGGGGAGAGCCTGGGTGGGGTCCTGCTGGAGGTGTGGGCTGAGTTCTAAGGAGCCTCTATTCTTTGGGGTAATAAGCTGTGGAGGTTACTTTTGGGAAGGGAGGAAGGTAAGGAAGAGGCCTGGTCTGTGGGATTTGCCATCCCAGCAAGGAGGTGGTGCTGAAGGAAGCAGGTAGAAGGCTGCCTTTTAAATGATGCCATCATGCTGCTTATCTCAGGGAACAAAAAACTAAGGTTTTGTAATCTAGACATTTCCCTATCTTTCCTATCTTTGGGAGGATCTGAGAATTCATTCTTTTTTTCTTGGCTATTTCTGGCCAAGCTAAAACAGTCTGTTAATGCTGTGCTGACCAGCTGAGTTAGCTGCTCCTGTACCTAGAACCCAGAAAGAGCCCATAAGATGACTTAAGGCTTACACAGGGAATTTCTCAGGTTCAGGGCCATGGCCCAGAGGTCTGCCTTTCTGAGAAGCCCCTTCCTTATCCCCAGCATCCCCAAGTGATTTGGGTTCGTGTGGGGCACGGCCCGCATCTTGAGAAACAGGCTCCACGTACAAGGGAGATCTTGGTGTGTAGAGGATGTTTGCCATTCACTTTAGAAGATGCTGTGATCCTGCCCCCGATGCAGTCCCAGGAGCAGAGTTCTGACCTGCGTGGCTGCTGGGAGCAGTGTGGGAACAGGGGCTCCACTTCACAGAGCCTTGAGGTGGTCACGATGGGGCATGTTGGTAAAAAGCGGACCTCAGGCAGCACTGAGGGCTGCCTGTATGAGAAATTCCTGTAACCCAGGGATGGAGACTGATAGGGGTGTGTGTGAAAGATAAACCACTTACTGCAACTCTGCTCTTGGAAAAGCAGTTTTTCCTTGGTGCTTTCATAACCAGTATATTTAAAAATACATATTTTGATTTTGAATTGTCCCTGGGGTGTAATTCCAAGCTCTGTGATCAGCCAACAGGAGCATCTTGCCTCCTGAAACTAACTTTACTGATGGGCTTATTCTCAGCATTGGAGAGTTCACTGAATTTTCACCTTTTTAGGGACTGCTTTTAACATCAGACCTTTTAAGTTCATTGTCACTATTGTTAATAGTTGGCAATAATCAGAGCTCTCCTTTAACTATTACTGGTGATTTCTAGTAAAAAATCCATTTGTTTATGCCGTTCCAGCGTTTGCTTCGTTTTGCTTTTGGTCAGTAAGTAGGGTGACTGAGCTGCACCTGTGAGCAAGATGGGAGGGCCAGAGAGGATTAGGATTGTGAGCGCTTCCACTCCTTGTCAAGCAGGTGGAACTGTTCTTTCTTGAATGATGTGTTGACTGTCTCAGCCTCGCCTTGGCAGTTGGACCCAAGGTTAAAGGTGTGTGCCTGAGGTGGGGGCTTTCTGGTGATGGGAGGTACTGTAAGTCAAAGTTTCTCTCAAGTGGGACAGAGAAGCTTTGGAAGTGTCCTGACCTCTTCTGGCCATCTGGGGGTGGGGGTGGGGGGGCTGCTGAGGGGTGGACAGGTTTGGTGGTGCTTAGGGGATTTTCCTGGATGGTTAACATTCAGAAAGAATTCTGGAAAGAGCAAGGCAGCCTTGCCAGGGACAATGCAGGCCTGCTAAAGCATGGTGATTTGGTGCCCCCATGGCTAGATGCTCAGTGATGTGAAATACAGCCTTAGTCCCGAGAAGCCCTTTGCTTGCTTAGCCCACCTCCCTGCTGCCTTTCCCTTCATCCTTGCAGGCCGGCCTGCCTTGGGATGCTTTCAACCTCTCTCTCTCTCTAGTGTGGTTTAAAAGTGATCTGGGAGATAAAGGGGACTCCCAGCACCCTGCACTTTGATCCAGGAGGCTGGACAGACCTGCCTGTGCCCAGGAATGAACGAACACCAGCTTTTGTTCAGGGCTTGCTGGAAATTCATTTGGATGGGAAGGGGGAGGGAAAATTTGCTTCACATCTTTCCAACTGCCCTAGGCCATCCGTGGCCTTCTGGTCACAGCTTGGATTCATCATGGCTTGGATCGTGGTCACCTCGCCAAGAGGTCTTGCTTGGGGGTGCCCTCACCAGGCAGTCACAACTCGCCTGGTTCCCTAAAGGCCCCAGGAAAGGGAGAGTCTTCTTGCTGATGTCAGGGTGCTAGGGGTTACTGGTGAATGCCTGCCAGGATGGGGCAGATGTTCAGCCAAGCCCAGAGGGGTTGGTGCCAGCGAGGAGACCCCAGTACCCCCCTTTCTTGCTTCCTAAGTCAGGCAGACCCTGTGGGTCCCAGGCAGCCACATGGGTCTCCAGTTGTTTCCCCCAAACGTGTCTGGCCCGAGGCAGAGAAGTAAGGGTACCCTCCCTTTATTGGCTCTTCTTGGGTTAGAGAGCTGACCATCCTAAGGGCCACTGAAACTTTGATCTTCTCAGAGTAGCTTTAAGACCTCCTTCAGCCCAGACTGGCCGCCCTCATTTAAAATTCCAGCCTTGCTCCCAAGGGCTTCGGCCTCCATCTTCACCTTAAACAACTGAGGGCTGTTGGCGGAGGCTCCTTACTGCTCTGCGACAGGTGTCGCTTCTGAGCGGGAGTTTGGGCACAGAGAACGCAGAGCCGCATCACCCCCAGGGGCTCTGCATGTGTTTACACCGGACCCCGCCTGGAGGGGCGTTTTGGAAGAGGGCACGTGGGCGGTGGGAACGTGGTGCCATGGGGTGAGGGAGGAGCCAGCCTGCATGCATTTTTCTGGAGGAATCAGACCCGGTCTCTAGATCGACCTTTCCCCAAGTGCAGAACACATTTTTCTTCTAATCTTTCTAAAGGGCCGAGCCGGGTGCGGGACGGCGAGGTTCTCCGGGCACGTGAGCAGAGTGCCGGAGCTCGCGGCTCGCCGCCCACGGGACCCCGCCTCTGCGCCCGTGGGGACCCCGGGGCAGGGCGCCTTCCCGGGCGGCGGGTCCTGCCGGGGCTGCGCGG